TTTTATACAAGCTCTTGATTCCGATCGTTCAGTTTGTTTTAAGATATTTGCTAAGGTAGCCCGATATCGCATATTTCGACAAATGATCAGTTGCTTGCTGACAAAAGAAGGTGTGCAAAATTTTGAGATTGATATTTCAAACCCTCAGCCATTGTTTTGCGTATATACAAACAGATGGATAGACGGACATGGACATCGACTCAGCTAAGTCGGCCATAAAACTTTGTGGCCAATTTAATATTACTTGTTGAGGGTAAAATAAAACATAACTCGATGTCAAATCAGCTTTATAATTTGGAATAGTGAAAGTCTATCACCCTTTTGTTCTTATCCATGAATATCATATACACACACCTTCTTCAAAGAAACATATTTTTCGTCGATCGCAAAACACCGCAGAGACGTATTTGAATTACGTGGCAAATAGCGGACTGTCAATACGAAATCGTGGAATTTCAGAACGTTACCTTCAATGGTAGACTTTTTTCACAGTATTTCTCTACATCACAGTACATATTTCTATAAAATAGTCCCGCCATCGGGCGGTGAAGCTAAATGCTCATCAGAGCACGCTGTTATAATCATATCACATATACAATATTAAAATGGTTATAGACAACCCTTATCACAATTTTATCATAATTTGAAACTTCAGAACATAAGGGATAGTTTAAGTTCAAACCCAACTTCGAGTCTCAATTGAGTCAAAAGAAGTTCAAAATTTACCTTATGTGTCTTTTTGCAGCATCCATTAACTTCAAACTTACTCCTACAACGCTCTACTTGAAGAACTGCACAAGCTTGCATGAAATAAAGTACAGCTTCAGCTCATGCATCCTGAAAATCCTAGATATATCAGGCTGTCCAATCGACTATGAAGAACACTTCATAAACTATGACTTTCCGATGCTGGAAACCCTCACACTCAGCTGGCAACCGAAAGCAGATTGGCGAAAATTGCTAGGCAAACTGAAGGCGTTGAAAAGTCTAACGGTTGAAAACATTGACAGTCGAAACACACAAGTAACCAGCGCAAAGGGAACCCCACAAAGCTATGAAACGCTGTTATTGGCGCTGTCCGATTGTAAAAATATTAAAGCTGTCACTTTAGGTGGCATGCTTAGCGTGTTTGATATCAGCCATTTAAGGAAGTTAGCTGACAGAAAACTGTCATTTCATATTAGGCATGAAAGCGGTCCACACTTAAGCAGGTTTCATAACCTACGGAACTTAGACACGGTCTATCTGGAGCACGTCAACGATGCTACAGACGCTGATTTGCTAGACTTGATAAAAAGTTGCGCAAACTTGTCAAAAATAACGTTGGATTATTGTGCAGGTGTGACGAAGAGTTTCATATTCAGCGCTGCCGAGTTCTTGCGTGAGCGCGATAAAGACGAACCTCTAAAAGCGCGTCTCAATCTGGAGATGTGCGGCTGTGTTGGCATTACAGAAAGTATACAGGAGGTAAAGTACGAAATATTACAAAAGCACATATTAATTTTAATAAAAGTGTTTATTTTTAATTCACCCAAGGATCCGCAATATGCAAAAGCTGAATCCGCATTGAGTTTAATTCTATTCTTCGAGTGCAAACATCCGATGACCAGCTACAGAAACGAGTGAGTATAGGATTTTTGAATCAATAAGTGGCTAGAAAATACACAAACCTTTTTCGAACTTGAAAAACTGGGCGTTTAAACCCGAAATGGAGTAAAACTTGCGACAAATTTGCGGTCCGAAGTATATTACGACATAACTTTGCTGTTCAATTGGCGCCACTTCCTTTATAGTACAAACTTTTGGAACTCTGTATTCCGGTTCTTAAGATTATGGTATAGATCCTGAAGTCCCGAATCATACTTACTTCCGAAACAGCTTACGACTTAAGATCGCGGTCGCAGTTGTCTGATTAGTATCATTTAGACAAATCATTTCGAAACCATCCGAATGTCTGATCCAAAGGTTTTTTCCGAATAAGTGTATTCCATAATCTACCACCACCAGGTCTCTAAATATGCAAGAGATCTACGAAATCTTGCTGCCTGCTACCCAAAATGGCATCCTCTGCTTACATTTCGAACCACTTATGATAGGAAAGACGGGTATTGGGTTGATTTCTCATTTTCAAGAAAACATCTTTTATACCAAAATTTCGAAACCCTAGTTCAGATTCTCTAGACCTTATCTCATAAGCTTTTTGAAGTCAGATTATAACCCTTGTTTTTCTTCACTTCTCAGCCTCATCATACCCTATCCACCACCAAATGTACAACTGAGCATTTACGTACTTTTCGAGATCTATAAAAGGCTTATAAACCAACCAGTTTCACAGCGATTCGCTACCGTTTGTGAAGATTTTGAGAACGCTGCCATCGAAGAAGAGCGACATCTAAAGATAATCGCTTGCCGCAGAGCGAAAATTGTACACAATGACATCTACGATGCTTACTTGGAGATCACGTCGGAAAGAAAAGACTTTTTTAAAGAGCTGCGCTGCGCAAACGCTACAAAAATGGTGCTCAATAATCGTGCGCTCAGCTTTGATACGATACTTGAAGATTTTCCAAAGCTGAAACGTTTAAGATTGCTAAATTGCATTATTGCCGAAGAAGAATTTCCCAGAAATAAACAATATAATAATATAAGTGATTTGGACATATCGGGAGCGAATGCATTTCGTCTATGGCAAAGTATAGCGGTACTTTTTCCGCATGTCAAAACGGTAAACTTAACAGATGCTTCACTTGAGAACCCTTTAGGCATGGAGATGCTTAGAATATTGCGTTTTGAAGAAAGCAACGTTTTCCGAAATATCACGGAATTCTCTGTGGATGGCACCATTTTGTGCGATGAAGACGTGGAGTTCCTAACTAATCTAGCACATTTGGAAAATCTCTCTATTATAAGGAACTCAAAAGTTACAGGTATGTCATTATATTCTCTCCTTCGTAGTTCGTAGGAAGTTCTGAAAAAAAGTAGAGCACTGAGTCCAAAGATTTTTTTTTTTTCGGAAAGAACTCTGAATTTTATTAACCAATAGACTTCAGTCAGTCCTCTGGAACATATCTTATACGATAGTACAGTCTTAATTAGCACAAAACCAAACTATAAAGTTCGCTGCTTATTCAAAATCTTCCATGCTTCCCAATTCCACTTTTGTATCGAATTCACCTTCTTATTTTAGGCAAACATATCGCCGAGCTCAGCAACGTTAAGGAACTTCAACTGAGTGGCTGCGAAAATTTAAGGCACTATTTTTTAGTGGACATACTGAACTCGTTATCACTAGTCTCGCTTGACATACGACACAGCACTTTCACCGATGTCGCTATGCACCTTACGAACCTCATGTGGTTGCGCTGTGAAACCCTCGTTACACTTAAAATCGACTGGCAGCTGGAGCATACAATTATGACATTACAAACTCTTCAATCATTAAAGAATATAGAAGTGCGAAATTTCAACACGAATCCCTGTGCTGCTTGTATACAAATCGAACTGCTACCGGTTCAAGATCAGAACTTTCAAATTCCATCTCCGCGCTGCACATGTGCTGACGAACCCGAGACACGTTTGACACAACGTTTCTTTCGCACACTCGCCGCGCGTACCAGCATCACGAAGCTCACACTCGAAGCTGAAGTTTTGTGCCGAAATCTTAATTACTTGCCGCATCTGCAACAGCTAACGCACCTCAGTATCATTGCAAAGAAAATCGGACGAGATGGTCTCTGCGTACCCCTGAATTTCCCTATAATTATTGGACAGCTTGCGAACTTGGAATATTTGTATTTATCACGGTTTTTCTACTGCTTCGACTATCTAATATACATCGTGAGCAGATGCAGCAGACTAAATGAGATTAGGTTGAAGCAATGTGTGGGTTTCTCGGATGTGGTGGCTTATGATCTAGTTGAAGTTTTGAAGCGGAAACGAACTAAAGATCAGCTGCCGTTCCGATTTTATATGCTTAACTTGAAGGACGACTCAAGTGAAACGTGCAGTGTGAGTACTAATGATTTTGGCTAGAAAGAATTTTTTATTGTGTCCTTTGAACTTTCAGGAAAACTCGAGCGATAGCCCACAGGAAGTAAGTTGTTTTATTATCCTTAAAAAAAGTATCTAATAACACTGTTTTACCTCATAAAACAGGTTAACCGCTTTGAGGATATTGCAGATTATATCAAAGTGATCTTTCTTTAAAACCGAATCATTAGGAATAAATTGAAAACCGTCGAGCAAGAAAATAGCTGCATAATAAATGTAATTTTTGACCGAAAAGACTTATAAGACGCTGATTTTCATTTGGAGCTTGGAGGACAGGGTTGCGACATTCTAGTCATCCCTGCTAAGTTATTTTATCGGGACAAACCAGTTTTAGAGCTATATCTTCGGACCCATTTGTAGTAAGCTCACTTGTGGTGGAATTATTCAGTGAAGATAACTATCAGAAGAGCAATATTCTTAAAAGTTTGGCTTCCATTTTAGATAATAATTCAAGATTTCGTCTCGGATCAAATCGCGTTTTCTTAAACTCGACAAACATTCGATTCTGTCTCGAGTATTTAATGAAAGCTAAATAGATACCTATATACGACTATAAACGGAATATAATTGCAAACAACTGAAGTATTTTCAGCTTCCCGGGTCAAGCGTCCTGCACGCTGGGATCAGACTGGCGTAAATTCTATCCGACGCACAATGCGGCACTGTGAGAAAACTAGTTATAGACCGTTAGTCCCTCCCGAGGGAATGTTAAAGCTTCTAAGGATCGGACAGCAAGAATTTAATGGCGGAATGACTTGATTTGTAGAAATGTGAAATTTGAAAAGAAACTAAGATAGATGGTCCCTTCCGTGTCTGAGTTCTATTGCATTAGAATGGTTATAAATAAAGCTATGGACAACTCAATGAGATTGAGCTTCATCAGCCGAAAGTCCTAAATACATGAAAAATACTGGGATCGGACTGGCGCAAATTCTGACCTATGCACAATATGGAATTGTGAGAAAACTACTTTTACAACGTAGGTACCACGCGAAGTAGCATAAAATTTTTAGAAAACAGTGTGCAATGATCTTTGGCTGAAACCTGTTGCATAACAAACGCATAACACAGAGGCTCGTTCATGCTCGTTAACATGCTAGCCAAGCTGTGGATGAAGTGGAAAGTAATAATCTGCAATTCCTTCGACGAAACCGCGACAAAACCTGAACTCTCTATATCTTTTTCACCGTTCTAAAAGTGTAGAGCGTTATTTTTACAAACAGTCACTGCACCAGAAATATATTTAAGACAATTTATTAAAATATAAGTTTTTCTAATACTGTTGACACGTATAAATCTTGTTTGTCAAACACATTTTCTTACACATTTGAATATGAAATCTCATTACTTCACTGTCTGGCTTCGCAAGCCCAAGTTACGAAAATATATTTTCCACTTGAAGGCATTAGCAACAACAGCAACACACTAAAATGAATGAAATAAATCTTCAAAAGGTGCGTGCTATGAGCGAGACCTTTCGATTTACCTCATCAATGAATGGGTTAACAGCAATAAAAAGCATACGCAATAACAAGAATAAGGGAAGAAAGGCCAAAAAAATGAATGCCAAAACAAAGATTTCCATCTTTTTATATCACTCATATGGAAATGAAAAGTGTGAAATTGGTATTCATACTATACATAATATCTTAAGCACATCTTCTTGGATACCGTGACAGGACAAATTATGCATATTTCCGATGACTAATGCGTATTTGGAAAGAAAATAAATTTATATTATATTTCTGTACAAATTCGAGTGCACTCTGATGTTTTTAGAGGTGCAAAAAAGGAAAATAGAATTATATTGAAGTAATAATTTCTGTAAGTATATGTTGATCAGCATTAGAAGTCTTGGAAAGAGTGCAGAAATTTCTAAAAATTTTTCAAATTTTTGTTTGAATAAATTTCCAGCTTAAACTTAAAATCAAAACTGAGATTGGATTCAGTAACAACCAACAGGAAATCGAACGATGAACAAGGAAAATAATGCTCAAGATTTATACCCGATAAGAAGAATGCAGAACTGCTTTTCACTCATGCTTAGCAACTCCTTTTTCTTAGATTTGTCGAATACTGCTCCTCCATTGAGTATTCTTCTCGAATTTTGTGGAGTCAGTTTTGTATATTATCCGACATATTCCTGGATTATTCTAGAAAGCAGCAGAATTTTTAACCTTCCGTTGAACGACGATCTAATGGAAGGAACCATCTCAAGCTAAATAGGTGATATATGCGTTCACTACACCACTATACGTCTTTTCCCAAAGCCACAAATCAAATGGAGATAAGTTGGTATTCAATTAACCAGATTTAAGACTGATAAAGCGAGCCACATTCAATGCTAAGACCGAAGAACTCTAAATGTCTACTCTATCAATATGACAATATTGTTCCAGAACGTTGTCCAAGGCTTTAGGAGGCGTCGCCGTCTATACCATTGACCTAGTATGGATTTTTTCGAGATCTCAATGTAAACCGACTGTTTTTGGCTAGAAATCAAAGCCTCTTGACCGGAAAGATCTCTAAAAGGTGTAGCCGTACTGCCGATATTTTAACGCTGGGAGATATCTCATAAATATAATAATATGTAGCCATCTACAAACGTATCCACTCTTGGTACTAGGCCTAAGTTTAAAACTGAATACTATATCACATATAAATATGAACCAAAAGAGAAGCGACGTGAAGATAAGACATTCACTCTCATATTGGATCATCAGTCTTAATAAGGTTTGTTTAAAGGTCTCCTCATTCATAGAAACATCAGACATTCTTTAGGTCCGGTAACCGACTGCTTTAATACTAAAAAAAACTCGATAACACTATATCACAAAGCAAATGAAGCCATTTCGAAGGTGATACTTCAAAATTTTTGGATATAGAAGTAAGAAGGTATTTAGGGACGTATGAACGGGGTTTCCAAAAAGTTAAATTAAAATAGATAAGTTCTTCTTCTTATTTATTGGTATAGACACACAGCTTATCCGGATAGAGTCGAGTTTACAACGGCGCGCAGAATTTTTTCTCCAGCAGTAGATCGAAGAAGTCACACGATAGGGAGTCTCCTTGTCTGAAACCTCATTTGTGTATCGAACGCTCTGAAGAAGCCTTCCCGGTTTACACACCCATATTAAATTTGAGGGGGTAACAAATTTAGTCATGGCGGCATAAAGGCAGCTCCTTTTCGTGCGGGCAAAAGCAATTGTAAAATCGACGAGGTGGTGGTGTCGATCCTCTTTCACGGGTATTTTCCACAATCAGATAAGAGCATATAATATCACCTAGGTCATATTGCAGATAACAAGATTTGTAGAGTCAGCTACTTCATCCAAGTAGGAAAAAACAACTGCGGGTAGAAGACACAGCCAATGATCTTTTTTACAAGGATAGTTGGTATGCTGTTGAAGATAGGGAGACTAGAGTGATAACATAGAGGGAAGGCTCAGCAGATTTTTGAAAATTACAACATTGGAAACAACATTAATACAGAATGGCTTAATATTTCGCCTCTTTTACCAACTTTGGTCAATCTTAGTAGATGAATTAATATCTACCCAGGTTGACTAGGAGTTTAAACCCTTGGAAAGATGCTCCTACAAAGACGAAATAGCTCGGTCTCAAAAACTATAAATCACCGCTGAACTTTTACAGATTTCTTGATATCGGAAATGCATTCCGAGACCTAATGCTAGTTACTGACTCTGATTCACGACTAACTGAGTATCAGAAACACATGTAAAGACTCCGCTAAATCTTATGCCAGTCAAAGCTGTGAAGTAGTTATGGTAACTCCAACCATTCCACAATCGAAAATTAACGCATCTACAACTCGTAGCTTTCCAAAAACTTTTGTAAAAGCACCACACCCATATTTGGTGATAAATAGACATTTCCTGCGTATGCCTAAATAATTCACACCCAATTTAGCTATCACCAACTAATATGCGCCTGACAGCCCATCATAAGCTATTCAGCACTCATAGACATAGCTATTTTCTGGCCAAACGAATGTGAATCTTACCGCGACTGTATTAGGGCTAAGGTATGTGGCATAATAGCTGGGTCACTATGACAGTTTGGGGCTAATAAATATATCACTCAAGTATGACTGATAGGCCTGTTTTCGATACGATAAACGATGGTTAAATCTCCTATCAATACACAAAAGTGGTCGACAATAACAATAAAACGAACAACAACAAATAGTATGCACAACAACAAAAAGCATAACAAAGTTATGTCATCAACGCTTAGGATACATAAATTAAATCAAGTGTTTCATCACTTCAATGCGATCAATGAGTCCGACGGTCCACCGGTTAGTGAGAGTGTGTGTGTGTGTGTGTGAGAGTGCGTGTAGTTGTGCGCTCTGCTATCTGAAGTAAAGGAAATTTCATTGCATGAATTTGCGAAAATTCCATAAACCAAAATGAATGGACACTCAGCAATAACAACAAAGCACCTTTACAAGTGCATAATAAATCAATTGAAGTTGTGTGTAGGCAAGAAGAATGAGCGTAAAAGCGAGCAGAAAAAAGTATGAATATTATCAAAGAAAATAGTTTTCATGCAAACTGAAACTTAGTGGTTTTTTGCTCTACAAATAAATATTAGGGTAGTACTTATGTCTACAAAAAATATTTTTAGAGTAAGTTTAACAAAGCTTAAACCTTAGATTTGTACAAAAACAGTTACATCAAGCTTGAAAATATATATGTATCTACAAATAAATAGTAGGGTGGTACTTATGTGTACAAAAAATATTTTTAGAGTAAGTTTAACAAAGGTAAAACCTTAGATTTGTACAAAAACAGTTACATCAAGCTTGAAAATATATATGTATCTACAAGTAAATAGTAGGGTGGTACTTAAGTACGGAAAAAAATATTTTTAAAGTAAATTTTAAAAATCTTAACGATTAGAAAAATTAATTTAGAAATAAGTGTTTATTACAATGAACCTAAAATTTTAATTAAACATTTTTTTTTCATATTAACATTACGGTGGTTCTATAGTTACGTTTAAATATTAATGTTACATGTCAAAATATCTGCGTATTGGGCGTTTGTGTATAACGCAAATGAAAACAGAAACATTTTAAATAATGTTGTTATTAGGGGTGTACTAAATTGTAGAAAAAATATTTTCAGTTAATAATGTTGATCAGTTTAAATAATGTTGTTATTAGGGGTGTACTAAATTGTAGAAAAAATATTTTCAGATTA